CATTGCCATGACCATGCTTTTTCCATAAATTTGAGCAGAATTTAAATCAGCAAGAACTATTTGCCTCCTCCTCAAATTATTTTAAATCCTAAATGGGACTTGAATTTGTAACTAAAAGTTTTCTTTTGGAACTCTAATTCCCAGGATTCTTTGCCAGCAGTGCACCAAAACCTTTTCCTTAAATAGTCAAAGCATTTGAGAAAAATTGCCATTTTAGTGATTTGTTCTTCAGTTGAATTAATGATATGCCTATTGAAAGGTCTAATTCATTTTGGTTTGATAATCTCTGGTTTGAAATGTGTTTGAATATTAATAGCTCGAGTTGGTAATTAGGCTGTTGGTTTGAGCTCCGAGCTTGGCAGTTTGGTTGCAAACGTATCGTCACCATTCAAAGAGATATTGTCAGTGCATTTTGAATTGTGCTCGTGGAACAGACACCCCACTACGCAGGAACAAAATTATAACCCATCAGCTCACAAGAAATTGGACCACATCTCAGTAACAGCCAGCCATTCAAATTAACAAACAGGCGAAAACCAGACCATGACTCAGAAGCATCCAGATAAACAACTCTAATCCAAATCTGCATCTCACAGACGGTACTTAACTACAGCCCAACAACAACAACCAGCCAATCAAACAGTCCAAGACCATGACTCAGCAATATCCGAACAAGCACCATTCAGACAAATTTGTATCTCATAAAAAGGTATTTAAAGACCTGTGTTCTGACAAAGGAGCATGAATGCACTGAGCATCAAAATGCACTGACCATGTCTCCTTGAATGGTGCCAGACTTGGAGCTCAAATCAACAACCCCTAATCTATGGTTTATCAGATTAAGAATGTTTTCTTCTGACCCTTCCCTCTTTATGTATGCTCAACTTTAGCAAAGGTATCATAATATTTTGTATCACAGTTTCCTGTGATGTTCAGATCAGAAGTATAGTTTAGCCATTGCTTAATAACCAAAGCCAAGATATGAGTCTGGTTTATAGTCTATTTCAGAGGGAATTATTGCAAGTAGGAGAGAAGAGAGGAAGGGACAAATCTATGTCTGTGCAACTTGATTCATGTTCTATCACCCATAGTTCGTTAGAATGAGATTGTTATGAGTAACCAGGCCACTGTTCTGTATGTAATTTTTGTTCATGTGCTTATTCATAGTTATCTAAAGTTATCTCTGTAATGTTTATTTATTTGGGAATAATACCAGTAACATAAAGAGCCAGATTGATGTAGTAGTTAAGGCAGGAGGCTAGAAGCTGAGAGACCATGAGTTGTAGTCCCAAAGCCATCATGGTGACCTAAGGCCAGTCATTCTCAATCTGATAAACCATCGATTTATCAAGCCGAAATGAATCAGACCTTTCAATAGGCATATATCTGCTTCCAGCATTTGTCTAATTGCCTTGAAGGTTTATCTCATAATGTAGTGGACCGTAAAGGAGTGCATGCATGCATACTTTTCTATGGTTTTCTCCACCTTCTCTAAACAACCCTTTATAATTATAAAAATGATAATCCTGATTGATAAGTCAAAAAAGGAGAAAAACCCTACTTACAATTTAAGTGTTATCTAAATAAAAATACGATAACTCCTTCATTTAACAGATTGAATGTCTGTTCAATCTGAGATTTCTTCAAGCCTAGAAAAACATTCATACGTGAGATTATTGTTTTAAATAGTACTCTATAGCATTAATCCATATACCGCTGCAACCCTATTTTCTATAACATTTATCTCTGTGAAACAGTGCATTATAGGGCAACAATTTTTGAAAAAAGGTACCTGAAATGGGCTAATTTACGGAATGCATCCAAAATCTGGGACCCATGATTATCAAGAGAATGAAATTTGGGAAAGAAGTGGCTTTGACTCAGTGAGGCACTAGTTGTCTAGTAACAAATTAGTAATAATAGTAAATGCCCATATAGCACTTAGATAAGTGAAAGCAGAAAAAACAAAAGATGTGCAGATGTCATTTGCTGAAGAGTTTCTGGCTTAAGATGACATATATCTTCCTTCATCTTCCTCTAACAACTGCATACATTTGCTTCATTTGCTTCCTCTTCCAGACTTCCATATGGTTTTGTTGTTAGTCATTTAACTCAAATCCTTCAAGACCATATCCATGTTACAAAGCAGTTTTTTCCCCTTAGCCATTCGCCAGCATTTTAATTTTGACAGCTTTCCAAACTGCAGTAAAATTGATTGAATTGAATTGAAGTTACATCTTCTGACTATATTGCTCTCTGGTTTATCACATATATTCTCAAATACAGGTAGTCCTTGGATTACGGCAGCAGTTGAAATTGAAGATTCCATCGCTAAGCGATGCAGTAGTAAAGTGGGACATTATGTGATTAGTGATGGCAATCTGACAGTACAGATTGCTATCCTAGCCTCAGGACATGTAGATTGTTAAGCAGGAAGAGGCAGGAGTCCCAGGCAAGGAAGCTGGGTGTGTGTGTGTATGAAGGGTGGCCACAGGCAAGAATGCTGGACTGTGTGGGCACATATGTAAGTACAGGCAGGTGCTCCAGAGCATAGGTGGGTGCCATGGGTGTGTGTGTGGAATGGAACATGCCAGGTGAAAAAGTAGCAGGAGTGGGAGCAACTTAGTTTATGGGAAACTGCAGGAGATGTTAGAAAAATTGTGATCATGTGAGCTGGAACGTTGTAATCGCAAGTCAGGGACTGACTATGGAGACACTGCAACTTTACAGGTCAGTCATAAATTCCCACATTCAGTGTGGTCGTAATTCTGAACAATCACTAAACAAGTGGTCATAACTCAAGGACTACTTGTAGATCACCTATGTCAAAAATGTATTTCTATTAAGTCTTTTAGTTGCCAGAATGATCCCCAGTCCATGAGTTAAACAACTAATATATCTGTGGTTGAAAATATTTTACTATATTTCCTTGATAACATACAGTGTCTTGAGATAGGTAAGTAGAAGTGTTCCTAAGATTAAAAATGTCTTCATATTTTCTTTTGATACCTGCAGCTTTTCCTAATCTGCTGAATTCAGACAAAAGTGACTGAAGAATCAGACATTAAAAGAAGCAACATAAACTCTGCCATCTCTGAATTAATTCTGTATAAATAGGAGTCAGTACATAATGTCTTTCAGCTCTTTTGGATGAAATGAGTTGCTATAATGACTGATGTTAATCTATGCAATCTGTCAGCATTTGCACTAACTAACACTGAGATCATCTTTTCGCTGATAATTTGTCAGAACAAGCCAGTCTCATTGTCATTATACATCTGTGACAATATGAGGTCTTTGTATTATTTATGCAGCTATTTAACTTTTTTTTCAAAGTTCTGTCTCCTCCAGGGCTAATATTCAAAGCTTTGTCCAAAGTTCACTTGAATGTCCCATCCCTTTTAACAAAATTACAAAGCTGTCTCCATTGGATCTGAATTTAACTTCATATGGTATTACTTGCAGATCCTCGTTCCATTCCATGTATGTATGTATCTGTGTATCTGTGTATATCTGTGTGTATATATGTATGTATATATCAATGTTCATGAACATTGATTATATATATATATATATATATGTCTATACACACACACACACACACATCAATGTTCATATTAGTGTGTGTGTATACACACACACTAACATGAACATTGCTGAACATACCAATGCAACGTTATTTCATGAAATGATACTTCCTAAGCTGTTTTCATATATTTTTTGACCCGTTACAACTTTCTTACTTTCAGTGTCCATAATATGCACTGATACAAGATACTTAACATTATATTTTGCTTCATGACTATCTGACACTGTTGCATTACAGCATGCTTTTCACCAATATATCCAATGAGGACTATTGATTGAATCTTAAAGTTGGCCCTCTTTCTTTACCTTCAGATTCACTGTTTTGCGAAACCATGGTTAAGTATTTCCAGAATTCCCCACCCACCCCCAGAGTATCCCAGACTGCTTATTAAAAGACTAGAATGCCTGCTAACGATGTCAGACGCAGAAGAAAAATGATATTTATGAGCAGTAGTGGCAAACCTTGTTTGGACTGATCTTCCAAAGAACAGACTTTATTCATTGTTGATTATTATGTTGAATTTTTTTAGGGAGGAGAATCTGGCAGACTTTGTCTATAACATCTGAAGTCTGCTATAGACCTGAGGCTCGTTGAACAGGGGGTTTTCTGTATGCTGTTGCTGTGGTTATTATTTGCCCTGAATAAAATAGACTAATTCAATTCACACATTCAAATAGTCTTTCCTAAAAGTGCTTGAGACTTCTGCCTAGTAAAATAAGTCCAAATATAATATGTCATCCCTGAAGGATATCTTGTTTTTTAAAAAAAGTAGCCTTATCTATCCGATTATGCACGCTAATATTATACAGAATTATTAGTGCATGTAGATCCCTTTTGAGTGAATTTCAAAAATACGCTGAACACTTGAGAAGGATTTAAGTCTCTCAAAAGAACTTAAGGATATGCAAATAAACCTAGCTGATCAAGTTAAACAGATGCAACTCACACAAACAATGTGAGCCCTCCTTTCCCTGGCTGTTGCTGTCAAAGAACAAGATGAGGTTCTGATGATCTGTAAAAGCAAAAAGGAGGTCATGGAATTTAGTGCTCTCATAATAAACTGCTTTGGTCTTGTTTTATGAAAATAGCTTGGTAGGACAGCTCTTACCAAGGCAACATGCATGATGGGATATGTCCTGAGAACCAGTGAGCAAACATCTTTTTTAGTGCATGTAAATTTGAACCAGCAGTCTACTAACAAATAATTACCTCATATTACACTTTGATAGGATTTTAGCCTAATTAATTACAAGTTGGAAAACCGCTGTCAAAATGTCATCCGATCTAGATCTGATCAGAGACAAGGTAGAAAACCTTCATGGAAAACAAAGGTAGGGCATCCATTAAATAAAGCGTAATCATATGTTTTCTTTTGTAACTATAACGAGAGGGGTCTTTTTTTTTCTTTAAGGAATCTCCTTCTGGACGCCGGAAAGCCCTTGCTACCAGCAATATCAACATGAAACAATATGCAAGCCCCATGCCGACACAGACAGATGTCAAGTTAAAGTTCAGGCCTTTGTCTAAGAAAGTTCTCTCAGCCACCCTGCAGTTCTCATTATCCTGTATTTTCCTAAGAGAAGGAAAGGCCACGTAAGTTTTGCAAAACATGTTACTCTGTTGCTCTTTTATATGTTCCAGAGAGCCTTTCTTACCAGATCTCAGCTCCCTTGAACCACACCACCGAATTTCCCTTGCATGGTTGTTAAAAATCTGTGAAAAGTATGGTTTCAAACAATTCAAAGTGCAAAATGCATGAGAATCACTGTGTAAATCCTGACTAAACATTTTTTTTTAAAAAAAAGACTCCCACAAGGCAGTTCTCCCTTCCCGAATCGATAATCCCCGACCTGCCTACCTTCCTACCTATACGACTGTATGACTAGTCGAGTCTGCTTTGCATTATCACCTCTGTTGCTACTCTTAGACCTTCCATAAAAGTGCTGAAAGCGGACCACATTCAACCCCACAGATCCTACAGAGGCTATTGATTGTCATTCTAGTTTTTTGCAAGGCAATGGATGGAGGGCATGAGTTATGGGAAAGAAATTTCTGTCTTTGTTATCACCTCAGGCGTGGCCTTGAATGAACAACTATTTCAGTTTCACCACAGAGTCATAGTATGAGACAACAATATGGACCTAGAGCATCAATAAAAATTAGAAAGATAATGCCTACAACACATACTGTAAGAGGAAGCCCTATGTCATTGCTAATTATTTTCATTATAATGTTTTATATAACTTGCTGCCCCAGCACAATACCTTTTTGAGGTTCCTTTCATTAGTAAAAATTATACCTTTTCTTTTCCCATAAGCCTTCATATTCTCCCTTTCAAGATGCAGCTGTACATCAAGGTTAGAATTAATTTGTTTTCTGAAAAGCACTGAATCAAAATTCAGCAGACAGGAGACCTGTCAAATGGGGAAATAGCCATTAGTTCAGATCTGTCAAGATGCTGTAAATGAAGGGCATCTTGAAGCAACAAATTAATTTGATGTTGGTAGGATGATGATGATGATGATGATACTATTATTATTATTATTATTATTATTATTATTATTAGTAGTAGTAGTAGTAGTAGTAGTAATAATAATAATAATAGTTGTTACACTATTTACATACAATCTGCCAGATAGGTCTGATTGGATTTGGTTCTTCGACTATCAGATCCTTTCTGAGGATCTAGGACACTAAAGATAACATCATAAATTATGCACTGTTCCATGTAATAAAACTTTTTATAATTGGTGAGTTGAAATGTTATCCATTCTACTTGTATCCAATTGTTTTTCCAGATATTTTGAATTAACACCAAGCACACCAACCTCTATGATTTTCCGTATTTGCTCTATTTGTGTCTTTATATAGTATTTCTCTACTTTTTCTGGTTATTTTTGATTGGTCCTTCCATCTCCAGCTACTGCAATTTCAATTATTCGTACTTGTTTCTTTGTAACTACTGCTGTCTAAATGTTTATTATTGTTATGCTTGCTCACACAGTCAGCCAGATGTTTAGACTGCATTTGGCATTTTTATCCACCTATCAAGTCCTTCCTAAAGACCTGGGATAGGCAGATGTTGTTGTTTAATGATGTTAAAGTTATCTATTATTATATACACAAAAATGTGAAATCACAGCTGCCAGTTCTTTAGCCCGTGTTGGCCTTCATATGCATAAAGTTCTTCCTAGGAACCTAGCATGTTGTAATGTGTCGGTGTAATATATCTGCAGATCCAACCATTATTATATTGTTATTATTATTAGAGATGAAGATATGCAGAGTCTGGCAAGTCTGATGAGTATGAAGCAAGCAGATATTGGAAATTTAGATGACTTTGAGGAAGATAATGAAGATGATGAAGAAAATAGAGTAAACCAGGAAGAAAAGGCTGCAAAAATTACAGGTTTGTTTCTTCCCCAAATATGTATGCTTTTGCTTATAAACTTTATTTGAAAATTGTTATTCTTTTTGACCATTTTTCTTTTGAAAATAATGTAGGTTTGTACTATTTGCATTAGGAACAAACAATTTAATCTATAACATGGATTGGTGTCCTTGTGTGAAGTAAGAGAGGATTCATGCTCCTTTTGGTTAACTTCAAAAGAGCCAAAAACACTACATTCAGATAGTCTTTATTTCTGTCATTATTTCTCTTTCTTTTGACTCCGTGGACTAAAGCAAAATTACTCATGGTTTGAAGGAATAAGGTTTGTGTATATTTATTTTAGTGTGTACTAACGTCTTGCAGGAGTATTGAAATATGGAGTTGTATGGGAGATTTTACAGGTTTTCAGGCCATTAGCCTTCATAATCCCCCTAGTTTCTACAGTTTATTAATTCAGGAAAAACTAAGCTATCTACATAGTAAATCTAAATTTAAGCTAATATTTTAAGTTCTTGAGCTGAATCAAAGAGTTATAATAGTTTGTCATATCTTGAGAGCATAGCTGGATAACTTGGTTCTGCATAAGGAAGCAAACAGGTAGAAAATCTATTCTATCCAGCAGTGTTAATGTGAAGTAATAAAAAGGATGATAAGCCTGACAGCACAAGGTAGCTGACAACTTTATACGAAAACAGATTTGTGTTGTATATGCATGTTTGTGTGTGCAAGAGAGAGAAAGAAAGAGAGAGAGAGAGAGATTTCAATCTACGGAAGGCACAGCAATATTTTCCACCTCAAGAGAATATAGAGCTCAGTTCTGGGATAGGTATTCATGAAAGAAAGGAAAAGAAATAACATTTAAATTTGATGAAGGAGTCACAGTCCATATCTCTTCTTGGAAATTTCCCAGCAGCCTTGTTGGTTCATCCTACATCCTTCTAAAGCACTTCCTGGATAACACACATTCTGAATTGGATTTGGACCACATACTGGAATACTAACTTTTTAAAATGAGATTCGGAGTAGCCTCTAATAACTACTAAGATATATCATAATTTAACATGTAACTCAGTAAAAGTATTTGTAATTGGAGTAACATCAATGTTCTACTTTCTTTGATGTTCCACCTATAAAGTATTATATTGTAATCTCCTTGAAAAAAATATTTCTGTTTCTACAGTATCATATGTTCCAGTCTTGGGAATATACAGTATGTGTGTCAGTATGTGATAATAGGAAAGATTTTTAAAAAGAGAGATAAAGTAGATAGTGAAAGTTTTGTCTATATCAGTAGATTAGTTTTGTCTGTCATTAAAGTTTTAGTAAATCAAGTTGAATGGAAAAGATGCTTATATCACCAAAAGCAATGCTTTCATTAATATTGTTTTCTGTAAACATGTTTTTATAATTTTATCACAAACTCCCTGATAAATGAGATGATCTTGATTAAATTTCTTGTTTGTTCCACAAAGAATTGATTCAATTCTGTTATGTCTCATTGAATTTCATGTTCTTAGCATTTCTCCATCTTGCAGTTTTCCACGCATGCCTTCTTTCATTCTTCACCAGAGCCTTTGTCCATCTCAGTCTCTGTCAATCTCTGTTTTCCAAATGACTGCCAAATGCTCAACTAAAGAAAAAAATTATGAACATTAAACAAATGCATATAGATTACTTTACCTTTCATCCTTGTCATCTCTCTTGTATATTATATATATATATGATATTCATGATAATGCAGCTTGGAGATTCAGCTGTTGAATCACTATATGACGTTGCTATACCGCACTGGGAAAAGAAGATTCCACATATCTGCTGTGAAAAACAGTAGCAATTAAACTAAATTGATGTTTCCTCTTCCCCTTTCCTCCAGTCACTTCCTTGATTGTCTGCACACTTGAACAACTTTACCATATAGATCAGATGAAGTGTGTCAAACAGATACTAAATACTATCAAAATGTCCAGTTTACATTATAGCTCTTACCCCATTGGATCTATTAGCTGTAAATTGTCCTCAAAAGGTTAGAGCAGGTTTTTGCTCTTCCAGTTCTGCATGGCAGGGCAATATGGCTAAGTTTTATTTGACAACGTTAATTGTGTGTCTATGCTACCTTAATTAAAATATTATATTTCAGTATTTTAATTATTATTAGTTAGTTCTTGTTTTAGTGTAGAATGTGTGCAAGATAATTCTGTTAATTAAAATATATTTCATGTTCACTGAGGTTCCACATTCTAGAATGTGGAAAAGCCCTCATGAAAGTACAGAGATATATTGATTATGATTGTTCAGTCTGGAATGTATTCCTAAATTAACATTTCTTTTCCTTTTCTCTTTTTCCTAATAACAGCATGTATTGTATTCCTTTTCCATTAAATGACCTTACCTCACAGTTGTCTTGACTGGCTTCTGTTTACAGAAATTGTAAACCAGTTGAATGCTCTGAGCAGCTTAGATGAAGATCAAGATGACTGCATAAAGCATACAAATATGCTGTCCACTAAATCAGCCAGTTCTTCTGAAGGTCTATGAGCTTTCCTCCTTTTCTGTTTCTGGCATGTCTGCATTTTACTGTGACCTCCTTAGTATCTGTTCATATTCAAGTGTTGGTTGTAGCTTTGTGCTTGGTGTCCATTACAGTCTTGTTGCATACAGTCAAGAGTATGCAACAAGATATGGTGCATTCATCGGCCAAGGTGAGGAAACTATGGCCCTCAGATATTATTGGATTCATGTTTCCATCAGCCCCTCCAGCGTGGTCATTGATCAGAAAAGATTGCAATTGTAGTCAGATCTTCCATTTGCTAAACCTAGCTCAGAACTCCCATTACTTGTGCTTGGAAGTATTGCATTCTTTCTCTGAGGTAATGTGTATGCTGCATGTGGGCCTTCCAGCTTAGTAATGGAAAAATTACTACCTTTATATATTGATTTTCTTTAAGTTAGCATTTTTTCTTTCTAAAAACTATTGCTAGACCCTTCCAGGTCAGTTAAACAGTTATATAATAAACTTGCACTTGCTTCTGTTCATGTTACTAAGCTGGAAACATTGGTGTACTATAAATATAAGAGTTTAGTTTAGCAGTAAAAAACGTGTCATGATTCACTATTAAAAGGAATACATAGTGCTTAAGATAAGTATTTGGAAAGTGATTGTTTAAACATTCTATATTTAATCCTAAATGAAAGTATAAAATGTGTATTGAAAGGTATTTTGCTTGGTTTCTTAGAACTTATCAACAAGCTTAGTTTCCTGGATGAAGAGGAGCAAGATTTGGCAAATTCAAGATCAAATCCATTTGTAGATTCTGATAGGTCTGAGCTGAATCCTTTTGGAGACACTGATATCGAAGGTATTTAATTTTGCCATATACAATCTTTGGATTGTGCTATACTTTGTAGCAAGATCACAAATGACATGTACTTCCTACTTCTCATTTTCTAAAAGTTTCTTTGATGTTACTTATGTGCTGATAATTTTCAATTTAAATATTCAACCACAGCTTGCTTAAGGTGTAGCTTAATGATGGAATTCTTCAACCTGAAGTAGCCTTTTAGGTCAGTGTTTGATCAAATCATTTTTCTCTTTCTAGACATGCCTGGACAATTTAATAAAAGTTTATATAATATTTTAAGTCTTAGTAATAATAATCAATACTTTAATGTTATTTGGTGTTTGGTTTAACTCAAATTTAAGTATGTACGAAAAGTTGCACTTTCGTAATCTTTCATAAATATATGAACCATTATATAATTTATCTATAACGAATATACATTCACAGTGAAACAACTAGATTAGGAAGTCTGCACCAGAAGAACTGCCCCCCCCCAGAAAAAGATGGAGTAAACTGTTAATATAAAAGCCATGATGAGAATTGTTCTTCTTTTGTTTGTTTATTGTTTTAAACAGTAGTTTATGCAAACTTATTATTTAGCAAAACCAACCCTTGATAAAATCATGAATGCTCACGCTTTACCCTTTAGCACCCTATTCTAAACTCCCAGAGGATTTTGCATTATAGTCAAGACAAACCCTTTCAAACTTTTGGACATGGCTTAATACAAAGGACTGAACCCACAGTAAAATAAATTAGTCCTAATCCATCAAGTATTCTGGAAGGATACCATGATCATTAAAATTCAGAGCTACTGAGTAGTCTAGAAGAATTGTTTTCAGTATCATTCCAGTCAAAATCCCAATTGACTTCGATCCAGCAAATCATACCATGTAGATGTCTCTTGAATTGTGAGGCCGCTGTATTCTCAATCAGTTTACATACAAATAAAATATTTGAGATGCCCTACAAATATAAGTTAAACCAGTTCAAAAGAGGATTTCTTTAACAAAGTTCTTATATTGCTTCCTTTAGACAGAGGGAACATATGGGGCCAGTCCCATTTTTGCCAGTATAACCAGCTGAAAAAGAAAAGGATTAGTAAGTAGTGGTCCCCATCCCTCACAACTGATTTGCAGCCTTGAAATCTGTAACTGGAAGAGGATCCAAAATAAGAGGACAAATAGTTGCTGAGCTTTCATCCCTATGTCTTGCCTGTAGCTTAACTGAAAAGTTGTAATGGATCCATTCAACTATCTGCACAGAATTGTAAACTGTGCTGCTCACCATTGCATTCCTCCAACATTTTGGCAAAGGAATTACCATTTAGTATAGAAAAGCTATGTTGGCCTGTTTTGTGCAAATATAGTGGAGAGACAGAAGTAAGCACTTTTTTGCTCCCTCCACAGATGTTAAAGTGGATCTTAAGATGGACTCTATATTTTGATCTATCCTGAGACTTTCTCCTTTTGTGGTTCATTGGTTGTCCCTTCTTCAATATTCTCAGCTCCCTAGTAAACCTTGGAAGTGATCTAATTTCATGGGATTAAAGGGCTCTTATGGATAATCATGACAACTGCTTTGATAATCTGATTCTGTATTCCTGCCAGGACATCAACAGAATCACATCTTCATCCTACTTCACATGAAGTAGCAAATCTCCAGATGATTTAGGAAACCACCAAGATTCATCAGGTGCCTGGGTTGGATCATTTAAACCACTCTTGCAGCCTTCCAGAGATTTCTGCCAAGTATCAGTCTAAAACAGAATAGAGAGATTCTGTTTATGACAATGAAGTCCTAAGGGGTTCTCCTGCAGACCATCAAGGCCTAATAGATCACTGGTTGCAGAGCCTGCACCCAAGTTATTGGTCTGAATGTCTTCTTTTTGAAGCAGGGTGAAACTTCTCAGCTACCTTAGTGGACAAGACTAAATATAATGGCCTGAAACCAGAAAGAACTAGATTTAAGTTTTATAGTAAGAAAAATGTTTTGACAACAGTTTGACAGTACCATTCAGCTACCCGGAGAGATGTGGATTCTCCACTTGGAGATTTTCAAGACATGAATCGAACAAACCATTCTTTAGATATATTTTAGTTCAGGGGCTCTCAGTGGGAACTTTTGCTTTCAGGCTGATACTAATTCTGCCCTTGTTCCTTAGTCTTTTATTGGCCAGGATGGGAAATTATTATCTATTATTTATTGTTTATTCAATTTATTTGCTGCCCATCTTGCCATATGTGTACTGCTATCTGCATTGTTACCCCCATTCCATTAGAGACCCCTCCTAACATTATACTAGAAAGATGAATATAAAAAAGCAGAGGTGTAAAACAGCAACGATGAATGAACACTTTCTTTTTTTTAATAAAAGTTTTTTATTTTATCGACAAACAAATATACAATACATAATCAATCAGTGTATCATTTAAGTACATTTTCTTCCTACTCTTCCACTATTTATCATATCTTAATATTATCATTTCATTTATTATAACATTTCTCCCACATTTCTTGCTTTTCTATTCATACATTTATCTATTTTCTTTCTCTTTTTTCTTCTTTGCTCATTACATTACCCTATATATATATCTTCTCTAACCAATGATAAAATTGCCCCCATACCTTAAATATTCCAATTCCTCTCTTTCTTTAATTGTCAAAGTCAATCTATTCATTTTTGCACAATCCAATATGTTCTGATAAACACTTTCTTGCTGTTGCAAGATCAAGCATGGGATTGAGGCAATTTGCTTCTCTCTGAAGTGATAAATACATACCAAGATATGAAATATGATCATGATACAACCATATTGTATTCTACAATGTTCTAATTGTTGAGTGTAATATCTAACTACTAAATCTCTTGATTATTTTAAATCTCAGACTTTACAATAAGAGACTGGCCTCCAACATCAGATACATAAGGTTGATATTAGAGAAAAAGGACATGCATACACAAAGTTCCCAGCGCAAGCCTTATTCTTCCACGGAACATCCTCATCTGTGCTTAATGTTTGGTTTTTTTCCTGGACACTGGATTTTTCTGACAGTAGATATAGTGATATCTGCATTAGTTATAATGGCTGGGGAAGATAGACTGAAGTGCTGTCTGTTATTAAATTTACTGGCTCATAAACTGAGGCCGACGGTTAAGGAAGGCTCTTCTAGCTAATGCTTATAAGCTAACTTTGTTACTCTGTAGTACTTAAGGGAGGCTTAACTAGTCTAAACAGCAGCAGTGTTTCCCTTTTAGCTGTGTCTTGGATTAGTAATACATCCCAGAGTTCTGCTGTATCTACATTTGACAGAAGGATTTAGATTAATTAGTTAATGTTTGTAAAGAATTTTGAAGATTAAAGAACAATATAAATGCTAAACGTTACAAGAGGTTGATTGTTTAAATATACAGATTCTTTTGAACACCCTTCTCTTTCCTCCTTCCTATTCTTTTTTGTTTTTTTATTGTTTTATTTTGTTTTTAAAAGTCTGCATCACTTTTCTGTATTCGGTTCATGTCTTTGATGATGTGTTTAATCTGGAGCGGGTTTTTTCTTTCATTTTTTGAGATAATAATTAATCAATTGATTTCTTCATTTTTGTATAAATGATTCTTGGGTTCTTCCTTTAAGCCATACTTGTCATAAATATTATGAATTGAGTATCAAGACTTCATCTGTAAAATTCCACATATTCTTTATTAATGGACCTTGATATTCTGAAATATGCCTCTAGAAATGGGTCTATTTTAAACTGATATTCTAGAATCTATCTCTGTTACTGAATGTACTGAATTTCATACGCCCAGCAACTCGGGTGCAAGATTAGATATGTGGCCATAGAGGTAGATTAAATATAAAGATGAAATGAATGGGTTGTATTGAGTTGAATTTGTATGATCCTAAGCCAGTTTTTGAAGTGGATTACCGGTACATATCTTTAGTTAATTGTTTCAGAGCATATATCAAATCTGAATGATTTCTGAGTCACCTGGCCAGAGCAGTATGTTGCATTCCTTCTTTATGGGAAAGCAAAAAATAAGGGACATTATGAAGCAGATACATAACAAAATTACAATATATGACTAACCTGCTTTTGGTTTAATGGATCACAATTGAGCAGGACTTCTACTTGAATTGCTTCAATTTCAACAGTTGAACAAAACGTAAAGGTGAATTATTTGGAACAAAAACCATTTCCTTTTTGTGTATGACTAATTCTTTGCTCTGGCCAGTATTGAATAACACTGTTAAGCTAACATTTCTGTGCAATACTAGAAGCAAAAGTCAAATGAAACCATTCCCCCCTTTTCAGTTATTTATTGTTTAAAATGCATGCACAAAAGATGGAATTGAGAACATGACAGTCTGCCTTCTGCAATCTGCCTGTTGGAAAAGTTGTTTTAAGCAGACCTGTAACTGTTTCAGATTTTGGCTGAACAGTTATTATGTCTGTTATGGGTGGTCCTGTTGAAATCAGGATTCTCCCAATACTGATAAAATTTCTGAGTAGTATTTTCTTTAACTTTCCCTAGTCATCAAAGAATTGTCTTTTTTTCCCCCCTTTTGGTTTATAATGATTTACAACATACTTTATAAGTATTCCTCTTGTTTTATTAATACTAATTTGGGATGGGTACTGTTTTGTATTCTTATTAGAGTTATATCAGGAGAAATGCACTATTTTGAAGGAATTGAAGAATTCCTTCTCCATTAAGACACAACCTCTTGATTGTGCTCTCTGTAGAACAAGACATTAAGATGACTTCATTATCCAAACAAGAGCGCTACTGTGATGACAGCGATGAATATAACCCCTTTAAAGAAAAGAGTGTGGAGTATATGAACCCTTTTGATGAGCCAGACCCTGAACCTGAGGTCCTATTACCTGTCAAAGACTCTCCTCCTCAACCTAGCAAAAGGAAAAATATCCGGCCTGTGGATATGAGCAAATATCTTTACGCTGACACATCAAGAACAGATGAAGAGGAGTTAGATGAGTAAGTAGATCACTTTTTTTTCCTTTGCATTAGTTGGGATTTCAGCACAAAACCTCCAGGCATAAAATATTAAAACCTGATTATTCTTGTATGAAGTACAAGAATAAACTGCTCCGTTAACAGAATTTGAATACATTAAACATTGGGGCATGCGTGTTACTGGCTTTTTTTCTGTGAGGCTTTAAATCATCAAAGCAGAATCTCTGAAGGGAGGCGTAGATACAGATGTTCAGAATGAAAAGCATGCATGCTCAATTCAGGCGTGGCATTGGCTGCTGCAGCAGTTCAGTTGGCTAGTGGCCAGCTTTGAACTATCCATATATGTAAGGAACTATACAATGCAGTGACATTTGAGGATAATGGATGACCTAGTCTTTAGAACTTTGGTACTATCCTTCTTTACTCAATGATCATTCAATACATTTAAGCAGTTCTATAGAATTCAAGACCTCTCCCCCTTTTCAAAGTGTTGTATTAGATGTATAATGCAAAGTTCTTTTCTTGATCGGTTTTAGTAATAATAGTATTGATTGCACCAATATTTGAAGAAGATGAAACTAATTGTGTTTTCTCTGTTATAAATACAAATGGTGGTCCCAGGTCTTTCCTATTCTCCCCCCCCCCCCTTTTTTTTTTTTGTCCTGGAAAGTGGGTGTATATTTTTCTAACTTGTTTTGTTGGCTTGTTGCTTTGAAAAATAATTTCAACTTGGCCAAGTCTGAGAGTTGGTTTTGTGTACAAATTAGATGAGAGTAAGTCAAATCTTCATGGCTAAATGGACATAGCTATGCAGTTTCCTTAACTTCTGTACCAGTTAAATAAAGTAGTTTGCTGGAATTTTTTTTTTTTAATCCCCAGCCTAATATAAGTATTAAGCAGGTCTGACTTGTGTTTCATTGCAACTGTAGCTTCCTTCCCTTTTTGTAGCATAACAGTTAACTTTCAAGACAGTCAAAGTGTGAAGAACAAACCACCCACCATCTTTTCAGTGGCAATTGCTGCACCATTCCTTCTGGATTCTAGGCACATGTTTACATGCGCATTAAGGATCATATAAAGAAGCTTATTTCCTTTTTCATTGAACTTCAGTTTATTTATCAAGCAATCCTTTGCTTCCACTGTGCTGTTAGGCTATTTATGTCCCTGCATTGTCAGCACAATGTCTCGTAATCAGACTTTCATCAGCAGTATCCCTTGGTGTACTACAAAGAATATAAAATTGAGAAACAGGAACCATCAATTCAAGCTGTAGATGAATCTCAATCCCCCATTTTGTATGCATGTCACTGTTTTTGTGTTCGGTCATAATCTCTTCTGTAACATTTTGTGAGTTTTAAAAGAAATTTCAAGAACTTATTTTCTATATTGTTCTTTCTCCTTAATATGTGCAACTGGTATGCAAATTTATAAATTTACAGATTCATAAAATTTGTTTTTTTTAAAAAAAAATAGCAATAGTACTTAGACTTATATATCACTTCATAGTGCTTTTACAGCCCTCTCTAAGTGGTTTACAGAGTCAGCATATTGCCCCCAACAATCTGGGTCCTCCATCCTTGGAAGGATGGAAGGCTGAGTCAACCTTTAGCTGGTCAGGATCAAACTGGCAGTGGGCAGGGTCAGCCTTCTAACCACTGGGCCACCATGGCTCTTACACCAATGTTTTACTTGGATAACCACACTTTGAAATGTGAAGTTAGAAAGCTAACTGCATTCAATCTCAGAATCTAAGAAGAATTAGGTCAGTGTCCTCAAAATATGGACCAAATGAAATTGATTGACATCCTTAGTGATAGAGGAAAATGACCCTTATTTTCTGCATACCTCACCAGGAATGGTAATGAAAGAGAAGTACTAAACAGGACTATCTGATACACTACAGCATCAGGCAGCGTTTTAAAATAAATTAATAAAGGCAGCCTCCAGCTGCTCACCTGAAATCCCATCCAGATACATTTGGATCATATGGGTGGCACAAGAAGCCCTAATTCAGTGGAATGGCTCAGATTTCACATAGAGGAGATCACAGGGTCAGTTTCTGAATGTGATGTTCTCTTGAAGAAATCTGGAAAGGCTTCTGTATGCAAGCACATTGGCTTCTGTATGAATCAACTGGATAGAATACTATCTGGATTATAAAGATCTTCTGAAGCTTCTCATCCTTGACTCTCTAATGATACTCCCCACCAGGATCTAGCTGCTCCTCCTTAGCAATGCAAAAGATCATCTTTCTTTCCTTAACAGATAATTGTCAAACTCGTGGCCCACGGGGCAGATGCGTCACGCTCTGGCCATGCCCATGCCCGGTTTGGCGAAGGGGGGAAAAAGTTCCGATATGTCATGTGACACTGCGGTGACGATGTGAGTTTGACACTCCATTCTAGATTGTTAGTATATAAAGGAGTAGGATCACAAATCCCAAAGTATGCTAGGAACAATGTTACTGGAATCCCCAACTATGGTTTCTTTGCAATAAAAACATACTAGTACTGTATCATAAACATTCCTATAGATCTCCTTTAATATTGGTTAGCCATTATATATTGCTTAATGATCTCTCATGGAGCTTTCATGGAGATTGTAAACTTGTAGCAGCTTTTGGAAAAAATACATTAGCAATTCCATGAAAAGGTGTTGGAAACACTGTATTAATTCTGCTGGTTGTGTTACGGATAGCACCTGGAAAATTCACATGAGGAAGTCCAATTCTCTATATGTAATGGAATAATACTTATTGGATACAAAGAGGCTGGATTCACACATCACAGTAAGCCATAATTTTTGTTACAAATCATGATTGGATTTGCACAACATATTTGCCAGTGCTTCTCAACCTTTGGTCCACAGACCCCTGGGGGGCTGTGATGACATCACAGGGGATCTGTGAAGGCTTGAAGAAATTTAAATCTTGAGGGTCTTGGCTATGGTCCGTGACCACAAAAGTTATTTAAAAGGGCTCCATGGTGAAGAAAAGATTGAGAACCACTGTACCATGCAGTAAAATATAATTTGCAAATCATAGCATTTGCATTCATCCAACATAATAAGTCAGAATTGAAGTACAGTATGTGTATATATTGTGTCAGAGGAAAAAAGTAGTAATGTCTGGAGCACATCGTTCTTGTGTCTAACTGCACAATAAATCTTATTGTGGAAGTGAGGAGGAGGAGGTGGTGTGTCATCCAAATTCCAGCAGTTCCAACCACAACCCCACTCCCAGCATTGAGGAAGTAGTTCTGTAATAACTGAGAGAATACTTATTCTTCCTTTGCATAAACTAGCAGTGGAACTCTGTGTACACAGTGACTGTCACAGTTATCCAGATTTTCATTCTGCAAAGTTGATAGGCATGGAACCATGAGTGTTCATGACAGGGCAGGGCAATGATGAAATGTGCATCATGAGATCATTGCAGAATTGCTGTGATTTTTGTAATTGCTTTAGGTCTTAGGATAGAAATACGTAACCACAGCATTTGTGTAATGTCATTGCATTTGTGTCATCATTTAGCATCAAACTGATCATCATGAGTAAACATGTAGAAAATGCTTCCAATTTGAAACCATTTGAGTTTGAAACACCTTGCTTCAGAACATTTCTTCTGAGGTTGGAAACAGCTTGTTTCAAACTGGAATGAGATGTTTCAGCTACAATATATTTTGTGCTTCTCTAACCAGGTGTATTGAGATGTTTCAGCTACAATATATTTTGTGCTTCTCTAAACAGGTGTATTAAGCCAAGAGATAAATGGAGCAGTGTTCTAGGAGAGAGTTTAAGGATGTTAAGCCTAAATAAGACTAGCCAGGTGCATCTGAGAAGGCACACAGATAGTTGTGATGGTGGTAGTCCACTTTCAGCATTGCTTCTTAGCAGGTGTTGCTCAGGATTCTGGAAATTATAAAGTATCGTTGAAACCAGTAGCCCCTGAGAGACCAATCTTCCATGAATTTCTCATTCTTGTTGCTGTTTAAAGTGTTGGCTATCGCCACATTTTATAAAAGTGAATCCCTCAGTTGAATTATGTGATGCATGCTTAATCCATCTTCCACATATTGTTGTTGGGTATTTGTCAGAGGTGTTATGTCTACATAAGCCATTAGCTCTTCTAGAAGCTCCTGGAGATCAAGCTTCTTGTCATCATTCCTTTTCTTCTCAGTTCCCATCACACCTGAGGCCAGACCAAAATAGGCTGATGTTTCATCTGTTTTGTCCATGTTTAGTTTTTCTCCTTATCCATGTTATTGCCTACTCACCTTTCGGAAACCCTTTGAGATTTACAGGAATATGACACAGATTTTAAAAATTTCAGGTCACCTTTCTGCAAATAAAGAAACGGCACTCATTGGGTGCAATGCACAGTGTGAGATAAGCATTTGTTTCAAATCTGTTCTCATTTTGTCTACACTCTAAACCAAACAACTCTAATCTTTTCAATCTCTTTTCACAGAAGTGTCTCCATCTTTCTTATCATTTTCATCATCCGTCTCTGGATCATCCTATTTTTTCTCCTGTATGTCTTTTTTAAGATGTGGTGACCAGCCTTGCCTGCAGTATTCAAGACGAGGGAACCCTCTGTGATTTGTGTGATGGCACTGGGACCCTTTCAGTATTGTTTTGCTTCTCAGTCACTATGCATGCATGCCTTTTGCTTGTATAACTGTCCATGATTATCTGCGGAATTGAGAAGTATTAAAAAAAAAGTGGCTTGAATTCTGGAAAAGATGTTCATAATTACAAGCAAAATATATTTACTTCAAAGCTGTCATCCTGCTATGTAACCCATTAAATCTAGGAAAAATAATATAGTGAAACCTTAATTTAACTGTAGGGAAGAGGGAATATTCATTATTCCCAATTGTTCTGTAAATTGGATAGTTTGTTATTTGCAATGATATTATTATGCAACTGACACAAATTACTTCATTTGTGCATTGTTACACCACATGTATCATTTCTATTGTGCAAGTGATATAACTTACTTATACAACTGATGTAATCAT